TTCTGAATGGCTTTTTGCTTCTGAGATATTGTGCAGCCAAATTATTTTTGGAAGTAAAAAGTGAATAAAACTGTAACACCAACAATGGCTTTGAAGTTATCAGAAGCCATTTTTTAAAAAAGTCATTGAACATGCATCCACGTTCACAGCAGCATTATTGGTAGTGTTCAAACGGTAGAAGAAACTCAAATATTTATCATCAAAGCAATTTTAAAAGGTGGTGTATATATACAATTGAATATTATTCGGCCTTAATAAGGAAAAATCCTGACATGCTGCTACAACCTGAATTAGTCTTGTTGAAGTGAAGTAAGCCACTCATAAAAGACAAATGCGGTGTGATATCACTTTTTCGAGGTACCCATGAAAACAGAAATTACAGTGATTGCCAGGGCCTGGGGCAGAGGAATGTGGAGTGCAGAGTTAGAGTTCTGCAAGGTGATAAAGTTCTGGAGACTGATTGCCTGACAATGATTGCCTAATACCACCAAACCGTACTCTTAAATATGGCTAGAGTGGTGTATTTTGTTTTATATTTTTTAACCACAATGTAAAAACTTAAAAATTTCAATGAATAACCCTAATCCTAACCATTAAGACTGGTTTTTTAAAATCAACTTGAGAATAGCCTGAGCAGTGTTTTTAAAAAGTCATTGAATCGCTTCTCGGCCTTTTGGCTAAGATCAAGTGTAAAAAGTCATTGAGAGTCTCAAGTTGGAGTGACACAGGCTAGCTAAATTGTGTGGGTTTGCTATCGACAACTGAGTAAACAAATAATCATAAAAGCCTTCAAATAATAATTTTCAGTTTCCAGTTGAGGTTCCTTCTTGGCTTTTAGGATGTAAGAAGAAAACTCAGAACTGTGAAACTCCAAATAATCTTTTGAGAAAAGAATTGACATGTTTAAGTTCATTTTTGTCATTAGAGGAATTCCAACAACTTCAGTTCCACAGTATTTGTGGGAATTATAAGTCCTGTGATACGCTGCCTGCTTTTGAAAAAAAAAAAGGGTTCATAGGACTCCAATATGTAAAGTACTTAAATGGGACTCAGAGTGGAAAAGCAGCTAAATGTTTTGCTGAAACTTTTTTTGTTTTGTTTTGTTTTGTTTTTTTGTACCAGGAATCAAACTGAGAGCCTTGCACTTGCCAGGCAGGCGCTGCACTGTTGAGGTACATCTCCCATCTTGAAACTACTTTCCTACTGCAGGTATGAACCTGTTTTCTGGCAATGATGTTCCATATTCATAGAACCAGTTTTGCACCTTTCTCCTTCTCCTCAGGTTTTTCTCAGCCATCAAACCCACAGTATGGTGAAGGGGCCACTTGCTTACAGTTTGTTTCTGAAACTCTGTTAAGCCTGACCATAAAAAATTAAACCTTTATCTCATCCTCTCATCCTTACCAATCATGATTATATTTGATGATTCTTCAAACACTGAATGCTTTTATCCACAGAGCAATTTAAGGGTGAAAGCATATTACTGTAACATTGATTTGTCAAGAGCATACCTGCTGAACACTTACTCCTACACTTCTGCCAAAGGGAATCTTGTTGTAGGGTCAGCAAAGACCATTCCAATAGCATTTTCTAACACCAATTGTATATTTTCTATGTACTTTTGGGGGTACTATTGAACAATAATACTTATAAAAGTTTTATAAGTGTGCTTATAAGACTTCTGTATTTGCTTATTGCTCTCTTCCTCTTTGCTCAATTCTGCTTTTGACTTGTTTTTATATTTTATTTTGCTGCCTGGAAAGCTTCTGGAGATGAACTTAGTGATTTTCTTATTTTGGTGATCAGCAATATCAAACTTTCATAGATGTGCTTTGGTGACCATAGCAATAGAGCCAGCTGGTCTTTCACCACTCTCAATGATCTGCTTCTGTATCTCAGCTATTCCTGCTGTTGGAAAGACAAAAGCTGAGCCAGACTGACTCCAGGAGCCATGGGGATGGGCATAACATTTGAGGTGCCCTTTCAGTCAATCCTTTCATTAAAGGGACAGCTAGCTCCCTGCTAGATGGGTGACACTGCTTTACTCCCGGTTAGCTTCAGGGAGGGGCTGTGGGAAGCAGATTGGAAAGGAAAGACAAGAGTTTACAGAATTAAACCAAGACATATTGCTTTTAGACAACAGTGATTCTAATTGCACTTTATTAATCTTATATACTTAGAAGTAAGTCACTAAAATAATACACAAGAAAAAAAAAGTCTTGCTGACAGTTTGGCCAAAAGTGCTTCTCTCTTTTTCCTGGGGACTATATATAGTGTGGATGTATTATCTAACTTCACCCCTCATCTGCTCCCCAGGACCTGGCTTTCTGTGTGTTCCTAGTGCAGGGTGGAGGGCTGCTGAGCCAAGGTTGTTTTTCTTTTAAATAGGAAACAATTATTCATTTTCTAGGCACTTGGTTGATTCTCAGGTAAATGTAGTGAAAGCTAATGTAGAGTGAGTGGTAAGAGAAAGGCAATTGAGCATGTTAAAAATATATAATTTTAACAGATTTTTGTGAGCTATTTTTGCTATAGGCCTAAATTGTACTTTCTCTTTGAATGGGTATTAGGAATAATACCAAAAGAATGTCTTTCAGTATTTGGATCAAGATATTGTTGTACATTGGATAGTGGCCCCAAAAAAGATATATCTGTGTCCTGAAACTGGTAAATGTGACTTTATTTGGGAGAAATGGCTTTAGATGTAATTAGTAATTTTAATAAGAGCATTCTGAATCACCCAGATCAGCACCAAATGACACAATGATATTGTCTTTAGAAAGGAGACACAGAGGAGAAGACCATGTGAGGTGGAGATTGAGTTATGTACTCACCAGCAAAAGGAATGCCTAAAGCCACCAGATGCTGAAAAAGGAAAGGAAAGATTCTCCCTAGGGCCTTTAGAGGGAGCACAGCCCTGCCAATACTTTGATTTCTGACTTCTACTTCCAGGACTATAAGGGAATACATTTATGTTGTTTGAGACACCAAATCTGTGGCAATTTGTTCCAGGAGCCCTAGGAAACAAATACAGAGATCCTTGAAAGCACTAGAATCTTGTAACATGGAGCTCCGTTCAAAGAACAGAGACAGCTTCTTGGCATGATGATGTGGTAAGTGATGAGAGAATTTTTCACTTTCATTGTCTCTATTTTAAAAAGGTAGAAGGTGAGGCTCAAGGTGTCATAGTGACTGCATGGGGATTGGGAGATAACCCTGCTGAGGGACAGTGTGTGCGGGAGTGCTCACATACAGTGGGCCCCAGGTCCCATCTGGAGTTGAATCCCACTTCTGTCCTGACTAATGTGACTCTGGCTAAGACATAACCACTTTTACCCTCAACTTCATCAATTGGAAAACAACAGAAATAACCACATTCCTATGCCTGTTAAGATTAAAAAGTGTAAAGCATCTAGAATAACAGATAGGAAGAGCTAAGTGAATTTTAGCTATCATGATCACTGCCTTACTACACTAATATATGATGGCCAAATTGTGAAGAACTAGAGAAAGAATATATGAAAATGAGGCAATTTTGAAGGCAGAACACATGACCTTTATCAGTTACCGACTTTAGAATGTTCAGCTCTGGTGTAGCTGCCATACAGGAGACAAAAAGCCTTAGCAACCTGGCAAACTGCTCTTTTCTGGGTAAGAACAGTACTGAGTGGTTCACCCCATTCCAAAGATGAAGAAACTGAGGCTCATAAACTTTGCACCTTGTTTATTTTCAAAGCCAAGTTGGAAACAACATTGGGTTCAGTCTATGATGCTCTCACTCAGAAATGTTCTTTCTACCACAACACACTGCCTCCTACAACAATTTTTACAAATGCTAAGCATCCAAGAACTATTTTTTGAATTAACAAAATCAAGCCTTGTTACTAATAACTTTAAAGTAGAACTGAAGTTTTCCAAAATATTTTGAAATGAAGATGTTATTTCTAGCCTTTTCAAACCCATAAATCTCTTGAAATATTGTAGCAATAAGGGAAAGATTAGGAAACAAAACATATCCAAGATAAACCTATTTCTTTTTGTCTGCAGACTCCACCCCTTCTTCCGTTGGCTGGTAGGTCACTGTTTCTATAGATGTAAGAGTAGACAGACAACCAGTAGCAGTCTAGATTTCTATTTATTTTACTTTCTTTTTTTCTTAGGAATAATAATGAGAGCAAAAAGAAAGAAAACAAAAGTCCTATTTCAAATGCTGATAATTAATTTTCACTTTATTAACATTTTTGAGGGACAATGTTTTCAATTTAGTGTACCTTTCTCTTACTTTTCCCCACTTAATAAATTAAGTGCTTATTAAGACTTACTCCTCTCTTGTACCAAGGCCTTTCAGGATAAGATGTTGTCCATGGAAATAAAAGGTGAAGGATGTTGAAACAGAAGCAGACTTAAACAAAAGACCCATAAATAAGGAAGTAGCTGGTGCTACATAAGTCTGACATTGGCACTTGTACCAAGACTGGCTTCTTCTAAGCCAAGGGATTCTTAATCTGGAAGCTAAGGACTTGCATGGGAAAAGGGTGGCAATTTATGAAAATTTTGCTCAGATGAAAGTTTTTCTGCACACATTCCTTTCTTTTCTTTTTCTTTCTTTTTGGTGGGGGGAGACTGAGGATCAAACACGGGGCCTTGTGCTTGTGAAGCAGGCACCAAAACCAGTGAGCTAAATCCCTGGCCTCTGCACGCATTTCAAAGATTATACCATCTGTAAGCCAAGAACTGTTTTGAGTGTCCTACCTCAGGCTTCCCCTCAACTCTGGTACCTGTAGCATCTTGTGTTCTCGGATAACAATAACTAATCATCACATTTTATTCCTTTACATCATCTTGAATGCCAATATAATAGCCAGTATATTATAAATATTTGCCAATTGTTGAATAAGACAGAATTAGAAACTTCACCTTGTTCATGATGTCATCTTGCAGTCAAAAGGCCAGATTTCTAAAAACATGAGTGACTCCAGGATATAATCAGAGCAATTTACCTCTTTGGGAATGTCCAGGTCTGGTCTTCTGTTTCGCTTTCTCTCAGAATGATCTTGTGTGGGTTAATTCTCCTTTCTGGGTTACTCCTGCTCAATCTGTGAAATAAGAATTTGAATGAAATAAACTTGAAGATGTCTTTAAATTTTAAAGTGCTTTGGGTCTGTGTAAAATGTTATCAAACCATTTGGATGAATAATCTCTCACAAAAGTTTAGAATGAAATATAAAAATGAGGCATAGGCTATTTTTAAAAATTTATTTTTAGGGAAGGTCACAGTGTAAGGACAATGTGGCTAGTGATTTCCATACTCTGAGGATACAAAGTTGTCCAGTGACAGGGCTGAGGGGATGTCTGAGGTAGGACAAAGGGACGGGAGCTTTGAGCCCCATATGTCATCTGCCAGAGAAGCCAATTCTTAATCTGCTTCATATTTTGAGTTTGATCTAGTGTGTAGAAAATGTTTCTTGACTTTTTAAATAAAGGAAAATGGCTTAATTTGGACCATGGTTCTGGATGCTGGAAGGGCCAAGATCAGGGACCACACCCGGTAATTACCACACGCTGCTTTGCCTTGTGGTGGAAAAGCAAAAGAGGGAGTGGGTGTAAGAGTGAGGGGAGATGCCAGGCTCAGCTTATAATTCTCTTTCTCTCTCCCTCTATATATTTGGGATAAGTTATAATTCCATTCCTTTTGGGGATATCTATCTATCTGTTTACCTATTTATCTATCTGTCTATCTATCTATCATCTATATATCTCTTCTATCAATTATCATGATCAGTTTTTCTTTTTCACTCCCAACCTTCACTTGCCTTCATTCCCAAGATGCCCTTCCTTATGTCCAAAAAGTCTACCTCTCTATTTCCTACTATCTCTTCTTTATTTTACTCTGTAATTATTTATGCTTTAGATTTCTTATATAAGAGAAACCATATATTTAACCCCTGTGTCTGATTTATTTCACTTATTTTTTGGTCTCAAAAGCCATCCATTTTCCTACAAGTTACTCAATTTATCTTTCTTTTTGGCTGAGTAATAATCCATTGTGTATCTGTGCCACATTCTCTTTATCCATTTACCTATTACAGGGTATCTAGGCTGTTTCCATAATTTAGCTACTGAGAATTACAGTGGTACTTTGATTCACAAATGATTTTGGAAAAGATGGCTATGTTTGTTTGTTTGGGAAGATGGCCATGGTCAGGTTTGTGACCCCATGTGGAGTTTGCAAACAAAGCCAAATTTTTTCCAAACCCTTTTGTTTGTAAACCAAATTGTTCAAAAACAAAAACATTTATGAAGCAAGGTACCCTTCTCTGCTATAAACATAGGTATGCACCTGTACTGCAATACGATATATTTAAATCTTCTGGGATGATACCCAAGCTGGGTCAAATGGAATTTCTAATTTTAGCTTTTTCCATACTGATTGTACTAGTTTAGATTTCCACTAGCAGTGCAGAAGGGTTCCTTTTTCTTCACATCCTTGCCAGCATTTGGTGTTTTGTGTCTTTAATCATAGCCATACTTTGTTGGAGTAAGAAGGAATCTCAGCCTTCTTTTGATTTTAATGAGTCTGTTAATATCATGGGAAGAAGGAAGATGATCAGGTAAATATTTGTGTTTAAAAATCTGTCTTTGGAGACTGAGGAGGCAATAGCGCCATGGTAGAATGCATGCTTAGCATGAGCAAGGCTTTGGGTTTGATCCCTATCACCAAAAATCAATCAATCAATCAATCAATAAAATAACAATAATTAATAAAAACTTGCTTTTGGCTGGAAACAGTTATAAGCCCAAATGCTTGTTTCTTATCTTATAATTTATTAGCTGAAGTCTCATAGTTTTTCTGAGATCTTTTTCTTCACATGACACACAATGACAGTGTGTTATGGATAGGGTAGTTGAAAGTATTATTCATGAAAGTGTTTGATAATGGGTGAGGAACCATGGAAATCATTTGTGGGTCTTCAGTAGTGAGCCCAGGGATTTGGATTTTGTTCTGACCATTGTGGCATTTCTGCTCATTTGAATTAAGACATGGAAAGAATGAAAGGTCAAATTTGCAGATGACCACAAGTTACTCATGAGTATCAAACAGGGCAGACTTCAGTATTCAAGGTCTAAGGATAAAACACTGAGGTAAATAAAAAGTCCTGTTCATTAGTTCAAAAAATTAGTTACCCAAGGCTGAGTAAGATGAGGGGAAACGTTTTACAGCAATTCGAGTAAAATTTTCTTGACTTCAGGTCAAGAAACTAACTTCAAGTCAAGAACTGTTTATAGTAGTTCAAGAAATTTCTCTTAACTTCAAGTTCATTATGAACCAGTAGTGTTGTAATATGATTGACAAATGAATAAATCACTCAATATTTTTTATAATTTATAGACTTATAGTGCCACAGATGAGAACAAGAAGCTATGCTCCTGTCCTTTATTAGCATCTCCTTTCATTTGCTAGAAATGGTCATTCTGACCAGCCACAGGGAACATCAATAGGAAGAAATGTGTCATAGGATTCTTGCATGCCCTCTCCCTTTTTTTATTTGCAGTTTTGGGAATTGAAACCACAGCCTTAGTACTGAGCTATATCTCCTGCCATTAAAAAGTAATTGAAACAGAGTCTCTCAAAGTTGTCCATTGGAACTTGAACTTGTGATCCTTCTGCTTCTGCCTTTTAAGTGTTGGCATTATAGGCACATGCCATATACCCAACTCTAAATATTCTTATAATGATGTTTTAGGCTATCATGGAGAACAGTTAGAAGTGGCATATTGTTTTCAGTGGCAAATCTCAGAAAATGGTGTAAACAGTAAGAGCCATTGAAAGGGGAATGGGGGATGGGACTGCTCAGCGGTGGAGTGCATGCCTAGCATGTGAGACCCTAGATTTAATCTCCATCACCATAAATAAATAAATAAATAGATAATAAAGGAGAATTGGTTACTTCTTGTGATACTGAGAATTTCTTTAGAAAGTTGGAGTAGAGACTAGACCACACCTTCTGCATGTTTCCATGAATTAGGAAGGTTTTAAGAAGAGATTACTAAAATTTTACCATCTCTTAAAACCTGTTTCTATTATTAAATTAAATACAGCATGAGAGAATAATTTTTTGTTAAAAAACTTTTTTTTTCATGGTGAAAGAGTGTGGATTTTGAAATTGGTAAATGAAAACTTTCTACTGCATGATAATCAGGATGTCATTTAATCTCTTTGTACATCAAATTATACCATCAGTAATAAGGAAATGATTAATTATTCCTGCACTGTTGTAAAGATGAAGCCACAGAACATTGGCAAAGAATGTTTAATCATGTCTTGTCTCAGCAAAGCCTCGAATATCGTAACTTTTATTCCAACTATTTCTTGCTTTTGCCATTTTCTACATGTCTCCTGTTTCCTCTTTTCTAAGAGATCCTTTTCTGGTGACTCTGTTGACTCCTTTGAGAGACAGATGATAGCAGATACAGTGGTGACTTTCATGTGCCTGGGAAGAATCCTTCTGAGGCAAATGAGTAGTCAGTGGTAGAGTGTCATGTTTCTAGTCTGCATCATGTTTGTTTCCTCCTAGATGAAGAAACCCATGGAACAATATTTTGTACTAAATTATAATGTGATTATCCTGCTCATCAAAACCAGAACTAGGCCAACCTGATTTATTTTTCCTTTGTTTGTAATCTTATGCATAAATCATGTATTAAAATTTTAAGATCCAAGATCTCCTTTGTAGAGTAGATGTGACAATCCACAGCCTAGAATGAGAAAGTTTGGTAACTAGAGGACTGGAGCCTGTGGTGTCTTCCCTCCACGGTTAATTTTCCAATCAATAAAGTGACTTTAAGTTCATAAAATTATTGTTCAGTGGATGAGTTCATAAAGGAGAAGCAGTTAACCATTCTCTGGAGAATTAAGCACATGGGATTCTGTTCTCTCAAGCATCCTGTCAAATATTAAGTGGGAAAATCTCCCACTTCAAATGCACTGAATTAAGTGAGAAAATAAATATTCCCTTCTCCTGGCCCCTTATCCAGGAACAATGCTTTGGTAAACCCTTCATATTAAGTTTCATAAAAAGCAAATTTGTACCCCACAAGCATTAACTATTCTCTTTCCCCAATGATGCATATGTATTGGAATTAATTTTAATAGTTCTGTAAATAAGAAATAAACTGCAATCTATATCTAATCAAAATCAATAATAGTGAGAGTGGGGAAGATCAGGTTGTATTTTTTTATCTTTGAAAAAATTGTACTTTTATTATTACAGATAAGTAGACTGATAAGTTACATGACCAGATTGTAAAAGTAATTTTTAAAAATCAATGGCATAAAAGCCTATGGGCTTTACCTATGGGGTTAAATAACCAATATTATTCACAAATTCCATGGGAATTGAGTAGGCACTTTCTGTAGCATCTAATGTAGTGAGTAGTAGTGATAATGTATTTGGTCATTAAATGGAGAGCTTGGGCCATGTTTATAAGTTGTTGAATTTTTTATTGTACAGTACCATACTATTAGTAGGTAAATAACTATATATTTAGTATGATTGCACATATACATAAGTGCACTAATAGACATCAACTTTCATTTACAGAATTAATATTTCATAATTTTAAAACAGGGAATCAATTTTAATAAATTCTTAGTTTATTGTTGCTAATACTAGGTAAGAGGACATGTTATTTATTTATTTATTTCTGAATTTTGTGTTCACTATCTCTGTAGGCAGTCTGTTTAACTTAAAAAAACTTTTAGAAGAGCACACATGTAAAATTTTTAGGAAAAACATTTATTTTACCATTCAACTACACTAAGGGATACAGGTCTTTACTATTTGACAAATAATGCTTCTCTCTCAACAGTGTACTTTCAAAAAATTGCTCTAGAAATAGTATAATCAGGCTATTATGATGACTGCAGTGACAAAAAATGACTTTTATATACTATTTAGCAAAGGTAGAGGAAATACAGATAACAGCTAAATCAGAGGTTTGTTGACAACATTAAGAGAAATGTTGTTGCTATGTTAATAGGTTGGTATTCAAAGAAAAGGAAGACTTACTTTGTTTATTAATAATTTTGACCACTCTTAAAACCATATTTGAGGGTCAGGGATTTAGCTCAGTGGTGCTGCCACCTGCCTCACAAGTGCAAGGTCCTGAGTTTGATCCCCAGTACCAAAAAAAAAAGTTTAATTGAAAAAACCAGATTTGATATTATAAACATAAATTATCCCCTGAAATATCATAATAAAGTTACAAAATATTACAAAAATATAAGCACCTATATTTATCATCTTAGACATAAACAAGACTTGGTATGATAGTACACTCCTATAATCCTAGCCCTCTAGGAGGCTGAGGCAGGAGGATTGCAAGTTTGAGCCCAGCCTGGGAAATTTGGCAAATTGGCTGGGTCTCATCTCAACATAAAGAAGGGGTGGGGATATAGCTCAATGAAAATGTCCTATGTTCAATCCCCAATACTACAACAAACAAACACAACAAAAATGAAAGTTATTGGTCACATTTTTAAATTTTTTCCTGTGTATTTTTCCCTTTAAACTTGGTTGTAGTCATAGTATGTAAATCGTATCCTGGTTTTTTAAAATTAATTTTACTGAATTAATTTATTTTGTTTTGTAGTTTTTATATTATTGTTGTCATTGTTATTATTATTTTGTAATACTGAGGATAAAACTCAGGGGATTTCTACCACTAAGCAGGATTCACAGATCTTTCTAATTTTTATTTTGAGATAGTGTCACTAATTTACCCAGGATGACCTCAAACTTGTGATCCTCCCACCTTAGTCTCCTGAGTAGCTGACATTGTAGACATATACCAGCACTCCCAGCTTATGTTGTTACACATAAAAATCACCGCTCTGATGTTTCATTTTAAATTTTAAGTTCACTCAAGATTTATTCTATTCATGCCACAAATATTTATTGAGCTACTGATATTAGCTTAGAACTTGCAAGGCACTAATGTGCTGCTATTCCTAAGCATTCTATGGGAGAACAGCAAAGATATGTAGATGATATATGAAAAAAAAAATCCATACCAGGGACTGAACTCAGGACCTTGCACTTTCAAGGCTGGTGGCAGAACCACTGAGCTAAATCTCTGGCTGCTATCTCTTTTAATGGCAAGACTTGAGTTGTTTTTCTAGCTGCTGTTTATGAGTTAAGGCAGGTAAGAAAATATGTGTATATATATTATGTGGATATTGTGGAAGGTTTATTAAACATAGAAAGCTTTCTTAAAAATTCTCTTTCCAAACAGATACACAGCACTTACATTCTCATGATAATAACAGAAAATATTGAGACAAAAGGAAGGTTCTGGTGTTGATTGGAATAGCTTCCATTTATCACGGGCTGGACCATGTGGGCCAGAGAACATTCTAGGTATTAACACGCTTTCTGTCATGTGTCCTGGATAGCAAGTCAGAGTTCCCAGGGCCATCACTGGCTCCAGTCTAAGTAAATAAAATTTTTTTAAAAATTAGTAGGATTTAAAATTCCCTGCGAGATCCCTTTGGTTGGGGAAGAGCCCAAGGGTATTATCACCAACAGACACAGAGGGAAGCATTAAAGTTAATGAGCTCTCATATAGTAGTCATGAGTTAGCTCTTATTTAGAAGGTCATAGTTCTATATGAGGATGTTCTGTGATAATTTTTGCTAAAGGTTTTGTACAGAAAAGATTATTAGATTTTCAAAAGAAGCAAAAAAGGTAATTTAATACGTAGGGCTGGATTAGACTTAATTTCAAATCAGATTTTTTTTTCCTTTTTTTTCTTCTACATCAGTGAACATTCACTGATACTTATTGAGCATGACATTCTGTAAAGCACAGGGCATATGATGCAGGTCATGAACATGGAGTGGTACTGCCTGTCCACAGGGTGTCGGGGGCAGTTAGGAGTGCAGGCCAATAGAGGTGTAGCTCCTCACAAGTGGTTCTGGAAACACTATCTTGAATTTTTTTCCTTTTTTTTCTACTTGTTTAAATTTTTTGTTGTTGTTCAATACATTACTTAGATTCATGCACAAATTTTCTTTTTAATCTTTGCACAGATCTTCAGCTCAACATGACTTTAACTCAGAATTACTAATTGACATACTTTCATCTTATAATGGAGCCAAAGGGCAGGGATGCCATACTTCAGGCAAGATCTGGCACGTTCAGGATGGGGTGGCCACAGACAGATGCAATACTTCAATAGCAACTTGGCACCCTCGAAGCTGCTATTCTACACTGATTACAATAGTAGATATTTATTGAGTAATCTATGCTCTAGAAATTTACTAAGCACTTTGTAGGTATTACCTTACACAGAATTCTTAATGACACTATGTTGGAAGCATGATTTTTATACCTAATTTACAAATGAGGAAACTGAGGCACTGGAGAAGAAATGTCAGGAGTAGGATAGCAGGTGGGAAACTTATTATACCTGTTCTTCAGTTATTTTGATCCCAAAGCCATACCTAGACTCCTTGAAACATGGTCTTCTTTCCCTAGTGCCTAGTACATAGCAGCTACTGAATTAAAATTTGGTGAATAAATGAATGAGACTTCTAATGCTTTATTATAAGAGGGTTTAAAAAAACTTATTTGTATTTTTATTCTGCATGTTCTTAAACACTCTTCCTCAAGCCTGAAATAAATCCTCTGTTTTTGACTTCCAACATCTAGTCCCTGTTCCTTTTAAACTTTTATCTAAAAGCTCTATTTTGGGAACACTGCCACACCCATTATATTTTACTAGAACAAGGCTTCTTTGGAAGCCTATTAAACTAGGTTACCTGAGTGGAAATTCTGGGACCATCTGGTGAAATAAAGACTCTCTGGTTGCTTTTTTTTCCTCCTTTTTCCCCTCCAGTAGATCTGTGGAATTTGATGCTCTGCTTATTCTCTGTAATTTGGAAAAAAAAAATGTGTCCTTCCTTAACCTTTCAAGATGATCCTTAAGGGTTTCTTCTCCTAAATTTTTCTCTTCTATTTTTCAAGAGGTTTTAACTATGAGGAACCAGATCCTAATTATTTACACACAATTTCTTGGAAGGCTATAAGAAAACATAAAACTAGAGAAAAAGATCAACAGGAAACTAAAAGCCCAGGCTGGTTATTTATTTGAGTGAGTGAGAATTTTTGTTATCATAGGACAACGTTTTATGTAGGTTGTAATTCTTCAATGCAGGTGTTGGGCTACTTCTTCCTTGTGCTTGCTTAGGGTGTGTTAGCAATAATATATTGTCCTTCATGAAACAATGGAATATCTAGATAGCCAAGCAATGCTGAATGGGAAGAAGAAACCAAAGTTCTCAAGGGGAAGAAAGAAGTTAATCTGAAGCTATCAGTCCTGTAGCCTATTGAAGTATGAGGTTAGGGCTGAGGCAAAATCAATCAAACAACTGTGCACAATCTGTCCAAGTCATGGTGATTCAGGGCACATGTGCAGAGCACATGACCCAGGAAGACTCTGTATCTCCTGAGCACGGCACATGGAACCAATCAGAGAAATGCTACTTTCAATTTTTCATTTACATCTGGCACAAAACCAAGCAAGTCTTTGATAGGACAATTTGAACCTGGAGCTAGGCCAACTGAGAGTTTTTGATAGGACAACCATCTTGATTCCTCATTTGCATGAGACAGAAGCCAATCTAGGGATTCCAGATATAAAGGACCCACTTCCCTTACCCTCATGGCTGCTGCCAGTCTATTCACTCATCTGCTGCTACTCTACAGTGCACTTCTTTTCTATCTTCAATAAATGTATATCCCACTACCTTCTCTGTGTCTTGTCTAATTCTTTGTTCAGGACATCAAACACCTGGAGACCCATCACTGCTAGCATTATCTCAGTACCAGAATGGCCAGGTTTGTGTGTGATTATTATATAATTACATAACTATAGGATCTCACTTCTTAGCTTGGTCTCACAATGTAAAACTGTACTTCACTGTGTTGTCTTTTGTTTTTCTCCAGAGCTCTTATCTCCTTTCCTTATACTACACATTCAGTTATTGTTGAGATGATGTTTGACACCACTGCTATAACTTAAGCTCCTTGAAGTGGGGATTTTTGTCTGTTTTGCTTATTACTTATGCAGAGCCTAAAAGAGTCCTGGTGTGGTATAGATGTATAATAAATATCAGTTGAAAAAATGGAATCCTACTCTTGATGAAAACAATATACAGAAATAATAACAATGATTTAACTTTCCTATGTGTGTTTAACTTCTAGACAAATGGTTAGATATAGAAAGTATTTCATAGAAACCTTTTAATTGGACAAAATATGACAATGGGACCTCTACAAAAGTGGTGACAAAACCTATTTCCATCAGCATTGTTTGTTTTTCAAAATATGCATGGAAAAGGAGACACCTATGTTGGTGAGAATGAAAAATGCTGGAGGTTTCTTGAAGCAGTAGATTTTACTCTTAAAGATAGGGTATAGTTCAGTTCAGTGTACTCATAACCATTCCAGCAACACATGCAAATGCTCATTGCCCGCAGTGACCCTGAGACTCACTAATTTTGTATGACAATTTGAGGACAAAGCATTATCCCCAAATTCCATGATTGTTAGAACAGGCTCAGGAAGCTTGTCTGAATGCAACACATGAAAGGTAACTAGATAAATAAATTATTTAGGAGCTTCTCCTGCATTTGAGATTGTCATACTTACAGCAGATGCTTTCCAGCAAAGATATGCCAGTGTGCTGTGAGTTCTACAATGGCTGCTCCTCTGGCTCCTCCAAGACTTTAGCTTTCAGGGACGACCTAGTTTAGTGAAACCAGCTGATTTGAATAGGGACAAGTGCACTTTTTACTGAGATTCAGGCACCTCCCATTCTCACCAGTGTGGGCCATCACAAACTCAACACTTGGCCTAAGGAACGGACAAAAGTCTGTTTTTCTAAAAGCAAGAGGAGAAATTATCCTCACAGGTTCTGGAGTAGTACAATGAATGGATGAATCCAAAATGGTATGACATTGCATGCAAATTCTCCACAGGCCTATATTAATAATATCAGACTTATTTTTTAAATAGAAGGAAGCTTGGATAGGTATGCAAATATGTGCAAATCATATAGCTGTGCAATACCTGTGCCATTTTAAATTGTTTCATAAATTTCAATGTGGCCCTTGGGGAAAAATGCCTCACATAAACTATTGGTCTAGTGGTACATGGGGAACTAGGGATTCCAAGTTTTACACCTATTTGTTCCTTTTTATGATGGATAATTTTTTAAAGCTATTTTGTTGAGATATATGTTGTAGGCTTTGTTAACATAGCATACAATTCATCCAACTTAAAATGTACAATTTAATAGTATTTAGTAGTATGACATTCATAGTTATATGGTCATCATTATAGTCAGTTTTAGTCCATTTGCATTACCTCCAAGGACACCCTATATGGCCTTTAGCAATCACTCCCCATTTTTCTCCAACCCTCCCTTCCACTTCAGCCTCTGGCAAAATTAGTCTACTTCGTGTGTCTATAGATATGCTGATTGTGGATTCATTGAATGGATATTAAGGTTGTTTCCACTTTTCTGCCTATTACATATGAGTAATGTTGCTATGAGCATTTGTGTATCAGCTCTTCCATGGATGTAAGCTTTCAATTCTCTTCAATATATGCATAGGAATGGAATTACTGAGTTTTTTGGCAACTCTGTGCAACTTTTTTTTTTTCTCAAATAATGCCATTGCTTTATACCCCACAGTTCCAAATTCTCTGTAATCGTCTGTGTGTGTGTGTGTGTGTGTGTGTGTGTGTGTGTATGCACTAAGGATCAACCCCAGGGCTTGTATATGCTAGGCAAGCATTCTATCACCACTTTCTAACCCTAATCTCTCCACATTTTCTCCAACACTTGCTATTGTGTTTTTGTTGTTATTTTTGTTATAACCATAACTATAGTCATAACAACTGTACATCCTTTGTGGAAAAATGTAATTTCAAATCTTTTGACCAAATTAAAATGGGTTGTTTATCTTTTTTATTGTTAAGCTCTTCATCTTCTGCCATACAAGTGGTAGGTGGGATGGTAGCTGAGAGAAGAGTCTCAGACTTCTCAGTTGGTCTTGCCTGAAATAAAGCTTGTGCAACACAAAGCTGAGGAAGATGAGAACTGTTAGTGGCCTGCTTTTTCTTGGAATCTACTGTACCTGCAGATTACAGTGTAGGTTGAGAAAGAACATCATATTTTAGAGCTGGGCATGGTGGTGCACTCCTGTAATCCCAGTACTCAGGAGGCTGAGGCAGGATGATTGCTGTGAGTTCGAGACCAGCCTGGATTACATAGTGAGTTCCAGGTCAGTCTCAACTATACAGTGAGACCCTGTCTCAAAAAAACCAAATAAATAAATAAATAACAAACAATCACCACATTTTTGGCTGAATTTACTCAGAGTGAAGCACCACTCAGCCAAGTGGACCATTATCACATTCAGATATAGGAGGGTGGGAAATGCATTGTGGCTTAAGATGTCACCAACTGTTGCTGTTCTTACTGAAATGCTATCGATTGTCTTGAATAAATATTTATTCATTTGTTGCATTACTTCATGATAATGTTCAGAGACAATTTTTACCATTTATTGTTTTTTCATAAATAGCAGGTTTGCAAAGATTTCCACACCACTGTTCTAGAAGGTGAGTCCCCTGAAGGTAATTTTTAAATAAAGGTTCAGCTTGTATATTTGGTGTTAAAATAGTTTATGCTAGCCAGGGATTTAGCTCAGTAGTTCTGCCACCTGCCTTGAAAGTGCAAGGTCTTGAGTTCAATCTCTGGTACACAAAAAAAGAAAAAAAGAAAAGAAAAAAAATTATGCTGACAGTATGGGAAAAATAGGCTAGAGAAGTAAAAGAATAGTTTTTATAAAAATATTTGCAAATTTTTCACATAGTGGATTAAGAAAACTAATGAAAGTTGAGGACTGCTTAATCTACATCTTCATATCCAGTAAAATTCTAAATTCTGTTCAGGCATTTGCCTTAAAAACCCTTATTAATTTGTTGTTATTAAGTAGTTGTATAGAAATATTTGAATAAGACTGCCACTGCATTTCATATTAAAGTATGTTGTTGGTCACCTAGTAGTGTAGTTTATGTACAAAATCATAGCTATCAAAAATCATTAAAATCATGGCTTTTAAAGAAGCATAGTAATAATTCACAGGTAGAAGTCAAGTTACTAAAACTTTAAGTTTTATACATAAACTTTAAAAGTTCATTAGCAAAAATGATCACATATTTCTTAATTTTGGTTTAATTCAAATAGTTACTGTGCCAAAAAGTCTTTTTTTCAAAAAGTCTTTTAGAAGAACAACGTTCTCAACTTCCCTGATTCATTCATTAGGATTTGAGAAATAGTATTTAACATTTGACAATTCCTCAAATTCTTTATCTGATCATGAGCTGGACTCATTAATGAGTTGACAGCCAGTTGAATGCCATTTTAATTGAAAAAAATCTAGAATTTCACTCCAATCTCACTGTAATCTCTGTCCACTCTTAACCCCTTTTTCCAGACCTATGGAATGTTCACCAGACTCCTTAGATGCTCGTTTGGTTACTTATAAATAATCACCTAGGCATCTTTGAGGAAACGCATACTTTTTAATAATCATGAAAAAAATGTTAAACTCCATTCTGTGTTGAAAATCCTTTACCTGTTTGGTAGTTGACTTGTGTAGTCTATTGCCTAAAGTAGCTATGGACAAAAATGGTATTGCATAATGGCATGAAACTAGACAAAGATGAATATTTAAGAAAACCAAGTATATCCTGAAGATATTTTCTTGAATAGTTATTAAGAAACAACATATAGATAAATAATGTAAATAATGATTTCCTTTTGGCCGGGAAAGTTTCAATATCAAAGTTGGGCTTCTGCTGAGTGAAACATCTGTTTCCAACATAGTAAAAGGCAAATGGAAAAACCCATTTATTTTTAAAAATTGTAATGCCATTAAGTAATAAACTGATTCATTGCATTAAAACTCATTATTAACCCCCCTCACTCTATAAAGACAGGAATTCTGTCCACTCGAGCTGCTTTACAGTTGTAGTACATATTTTGGAAGATGCTTACCTCCAGGTTGCAGTTTCTTCCCTGTGGCTTTAGCTGAGCACGGATGCTCTGGCTTCTCCTCAGCTGCTGCGAGCTTCTCACTGTGAGAGGCACCCGGAGACTCCCAGAGTTAGGTGTTTGGCCCCGCCCTCTACACTATTGCTAAAACTCCAATTCTGCCAGACTGATTCCGGTGATTAATTATTGACAAAAGGAAAATACTCTTACGCAAACTTGTGTCCAACCGCAAGGCTCCCAGCAACTCCTTCCAGAAGAGTGTGCCGGCTGCAGCGCTCCCCTCCCCCTGCTCTACGGTCCCAACTTCCCTTATGCTGCCACTGTCCTGAGAGATCACGCTCGTCCTCGGAGGAATGCAGCAAAGCGACTTCTACATTTTAAAATGTAGTTATCTGTAGCTTGTTCTCACTTCTTCGGGGACGGGGACCAGCCTCTCAGGAGGGGGCGCTTTCCTGATGCAGGGGAAACCCGGGTTCTGAAAGCAACTGAGGAGGAGGCTAAGGCGTCGCTGTCACCTCTGGCTGCTGCAGTAAAACCCCGAGCCGAGGCAGGGATGGGGGAGGGGGCA